TAACTCCTCAGCTAGGAAACTCCAGAGCAGGACCTGAACCCAAGTATCTACATGCATATCAGAGCATGTTTCTAGAGCTAATATTAATGAAACATTATTTGGAAGTCATATGTGATATGAAAGAAAGAAAAATTAGTTGCACTTCTCTCCTGATGTTTATGACTTCATCAAGTCAAATACACTAATCAATAAAACTGAGATAACTGCTTAAGAGTTAATTTAACATTTATATCTGATGTAAGCATAGAGGCCAGACAGCAATTTTTGCTATGTTCATGTTATCCCAATAAGAATACAACACATCCAGATCAGAGATTAGAAAACAGTATTGAAGAGCACTTACTATTCCTATCCTGAAGTGTTTCCATAGCAGCCAAAACAATTATTAAAACAGATACACCAAAAGGATGGCAACGAAATAATATAAAAGCCATTCATCTGAAAATAATTCACAGATTTGAACAGTTATATTTGAGCTGTTGATTAATTTAATACTTAAACATTACATACTTTCTAATACATCACACAAGTCTTTGTAGTGATCTTCACAGCAGCAGAGGAATTTATCAGAGCAAGAAGATTTTTAGAAAGAAGTATTTATAACAGACAACATGTTGACTGCTGTGGATTCACATCACAGAAAATATAAGGTATCTCAGATTTCCTTTGCAGGATGAGGATTTACTTAGTGGAGGAAGCTTACCATTTGCTTCTTCTTTTATCCCACTTAAGACTACAGAAAGCCAAGAACACTCTACACATTCTCCTCCTGCTCTCCCACAATTTATCAGAAAATACTGTTTTCAACAGCATTAAGCAACATTAACTCCTGCTTTTCTTGACAGTTCCTCTGAATAGCCATCTTTCATATCTGCCCTTTAAGCTTTCATAAGATGCACCTAATTAAAAATCAAAGGCTCAGTTTTTAGAAATGTCAGCTATCGTGCCTTAGAGGTAAGAAAAATTTGGCTTTTTGGCTTTATCTGAGAGCCATCTATATATTAACTAGCAGGCACCATGACTGCTGCCCAAATGCCAATGCTCTCTCCTTTAATTCTTTCTGTAAGAACACAGCATCACCTACAACCAGTTTTTCTTTCATTCAAATCACAAGTCCTCCAGAAAAACAGAGGCAGGATTGTTTTGGCAACAATGAGCAAGTGGCCTTCCATCTACCTATGACCAAATTGCAAACTCTGACCAGCTAATAGCCTCCAGGTTAAGTGAGAGTGGAACACAAAAGATACTAAACAGGTTCCCAATGGTAAAAAGAAATACACAGACAGCTATGTGTGAGGTAGGAGGGATGGTTTCTAATGGAAGCGTTTTCCTTTTTCTCCTTGCATCAGTTCTCATCACTGGATTTCAGATGTGCAGGCACATGGTGTCAGGTCAAGAAGAAGTAATGACACCATTTATGTTCCCCTTCCCATAGGCAATCACCCCACAGCAACAGAACTGGTCAACTGCCACTCATTCCTGTATAACAGATCCAACCTTAATAGCATCTCGCATTCAATACAGGGCCCTGAGGAGCTCGTGGGTTTAAAAAGCCATCCAGTGCATTATTCTGTTTAGAAAGAATACTTTTGAAGTACATGATTCTTGCCTTAAGAGTGAAGAAAAAAGCCAGCATCATTAAGCAATCCTTGAAATTTCATGCAAGAAGCTGAGTATAGAATCCATTATCCAGGGGTATCTGCAGTGCTCAGAATAATCTTATGTTGACATTTGTGTGGGGGCAGCTGAGTACGAAACAAGTTTGTGAAAGGCAGAGAACACCTACAAATGGAAGAGTACACAGCACGTAGAAGGGCAGGCTTGCAGATGGGGTAGTCCAAGGGCAGAGCACATGCAGTAAAAAGAATAAAGTGCAAATGCTTCAGTAGAAAGAGGGTGTGGGAGCACTGATAAAGGAAGAAGATTACTCCAGTTCACTACTGCTATACAGCCTAGAGAAAAACAAGCCAAGGAAGAACTTGGAGATCAGGGCAGATCTCTGCTTCTGTTGCCACCATGAACAAACAGAAGTTTGCAAGACATGTACTTTCTGATACAGAGAGTATCACACAAATTATAACCACAAAGACAGTTATCAATTTACTGATGCAGGATTTATTTTTCCAACAGCTCCCACCTATAAGAAAATACTGCAGCAGAACATGATACTTTTACCTTGGACAAAAGTTTCAGGGTTTCAGTTTAATTGGAATATTTAAAAGTGAAAAAAATAACTGTTTCATACAATAATGAAAATGAAACAGCAATAATGAAAATGAAAAAAAAAAAAGAATTTTTTTCTGCGTACATAGCTAACTTTCCTCCAGCTGTGTCTTTTTTGTCATTCCTCCACACAAGCAAATAAACCCTGAAATCCAATAAACCTTTCAATTACTTCTAAACAAAGTTTTAGAGATAGCCTAAAAAGTTGTAGTTGCATGAGTATTGTACTCTAATATCAACAAGTTCCTTTTTCAACGAGAAAGGCAAGAGGGGTGCAATGTCAGCATGAAGAGCACATTTTATAGATGCCAGTATCTCCTGAAGTAAGTGCTTGCAAACACAATCAGCAGCACAGTGAAATCCTCTGCAATCGTCTCTCTACTTGATTTTATGAGTACGCTGCTCATTGGTGATGAAGCCCACACTTTCTCCCCTCCTTTTGAAAAAATTTGAGCTGAAATGAAAGAAAGCACCATACACTTTTTTTTAAGAGATGCTATTCAATTAATTTAGCTTAACCAGTCCCATACCTCAGCTTCTGAGTATTAAAGCATGTTCTGTTTCACGCCCTACTCCTATAAAATCTAGACCTGCAAAGCTCAGAGAAACTTTACTGATCAAATTCTATAAACAGTGCAATGCTTTTTTCAGTTTTTCTAACTCTCAGTGTGGGTGTCACTTTCAGTTAAAGAAAGGAAAAAACAGGAACAGATATGTAATTCAACAGAACAGGTTTTAATCCTCAAAACACTGACAGCTATTACATGCTCCAAAGTCCTCCATCAGTCTAGGGATTTGGGTGAAAAAAAAAGAGGCCAGCTTCTTACTCTTGTCTTTGGACAGCTGAGCTACAACCACTACATGTGCAGCTCACATTCTGAGAACACTGGCAAGTCTAAGCTTCATTTGGAGGTCAGTTCAAGCAAGAATGCTCCACAGCTTCACACCTGGCCAAGCAGATATGTCCATATGTTTTCAGCACTCAAGGACCGTGAGTGTCATTACCTCATTTTCTGATCCTATGAATCCTCAGACCATATTAAACGGGCTCTACAGCAAAATCTGACCTTTGACAAATTAGAGTATAACCTTAAACAAAATATTTACCAAGCTTATTGACATAGACCTCTATAAGCAAACCCTTAGCATGCTGATAACAATCATCAACTCTACTTTATAGAAATTTGTGCTGAGATGCTAGGAGGAGTGCAGCAAGTTGAGAAGGAGATGTGAGGAGAGGAAATATATTAGCATTTCAAATATCTAGAAATGTGTGATGTAGTCTGTAGGCAAGGGAGGCCTGATAATGCTTGCAGCAAGTATCTCTAGGTGGCTCCGTTCACATACTTCACTTGTAAGACTCTTACTCAATCTCTTCTGTTTCTTTCAAGTAGAAACAATAGGGTTGCAAAATTCCATGTTTTAGTGAAATGATGCCAATATATACAGATGACAGCTAATATGAAAGGCACCTAACAAGAAAAAACCCTTTCTTTTATATTGCTGGAGATTAAAGCAGTGCACAATTTCTCAGGTTGTTACACTCACTATTACTAAGTTCTCCCACCTGTTTTGGGAGACCAAGCTTAATTGCTAGTGACTATTTAGGCTGAAATTGAAAGAACATTAAATGTTTTTCAAACAAACTTCCATACTATTTCATGGGAAACTTGGGTTTCAAGAGCTAGGGAAAAGGTCAGCAAAAAAAGGATGGGTGGTGAGTACTTAGCAGCTGTGAGAAATGCAAAAACCAAAACTGCAAATTTCCGATGCACACCGTGCAGCTGCGTTTGAGAGAGATAAGAGGACAGACAACGGGTTTTGGGGACACTGAAACACCTACAAACACGGCCCAACCTCAGCGAACAGGCACAAACAACACACGCACGGCCCCGCAGGCCAGCACCGTCCCTTCCTCATTCCTCCTGCACAGCAGCGGCAGGGGAGAAAGTTCAGCGCCGGCACCGTCCACGCACCCGCGGGCCGGGCCGGGCTCACCCCTGACCACGGCCCCGCACCCGGGCGCCACGGGACGGGGACAGCGCCTCGGGCATCCCGGAGAACCCTTCACCCGGCCCCGGCAACGGGGACGGCGGGGAAAAAGAATTAAGAAGGAGGCGGCGACCCCCCGGAGACCCCACCGCGGCCGCGCCTGGCTCTCCCCGCGGCGCCACAGGTGCTGCGGGGCTGGGGGCTGCAAGCCGCAGGGCAGCGAGGCCAAAGGCACCGCCGCCCCGCAGAGGCTCCATTCTCCCCCGCCCGGCACACCGGGATGCCCCCTCGAGCCGGCGGTGCCGTGGAGCGGGCTCGGCGGGCAGCCCCCCGCGCCAGCCGGGGAAAGGCACAGGTAGCGCCCGCACCGCGGGGACGGCCCCTCCCGGCGGGAGAGGCGCCGCCAAAGGCAGCGCTGCAAGGGGCTGCTTTCGGCTGCGCAGAGGAGGAGGAGAGCGGGTGCCCACCTCCCCGCCGGCCCCGGGGAGAGGGAAGCGGGGCGCAGACGGCCGCCGCCGGCAGGACGGGGGCGGGCGGCGGTCATGGCGGGGAGGCGCGCCGCGCACCTGGCAGCAGGTGCATGCAGGCGGAGACGGCGGCGAGGGCGCCCGCGGAGGGAAGGACGAAACTAGCCAGGCTTTCCCGGCGAACGGCGCCTGTTGTGCGGCCGGGGGGGGGCACTCGCAGGTGCGTGTCGCCGGGAAGGGGGGAACGATGCGGAGGAGGGGAGAGGGTAGCTGCAGGCACCGTTTTGCGGGCGGCGGAGGTAAGCGCGCACTACTCACCGGCAGCTCCACGTTGACTTCGGTCCCGTCCAGGAGAAGGACGCGGCACTGCAGCACCGGCTTGCTGCCGCCGGCCGCCGGGATGTGGACGGGCGCTCCGGCGCAGTGCACGACCCCTCCGGGGAGCGGCGAGGAGGGGAAGGCTCCCGAGCCGACGGCGGCGGCGGCCGCTCCTCGCAGCCCCCCGTCCCGCTCGTCCCCCTCGCCGCCGAGCCCACCTCGCCCGGCTCCGCGCCCGGCTCCTCGCCCGTAGCGCTGCATCGACCGCCGGCCAAAGGTCCTGCGCAGGAACCGCAGCATCCTGGGGGCGCCCTGCCCGGCCGCTCACACCCCCGAGCCCGCAGCTCCGCGCCCGGCCCCGCGGCGCCTCCCAGAGCAACGCAGCAGCGCCGCCCGCCGGGAGCCAGCCCGCGCCGGGCGCCGGCCGCGCCGCCCGCTCCGCCCTCTGCAGCGCCGCCCGGCAGCGGCTCGGCGGGGCGGGGCGGGCCGCGGCCCCGCCCGCCGCCGCGCTCCGGGCCGTGCGGCCGGCGGGCGGGCAGGGGGAGCCGCTGAGGCGGCGGCCACCTGCGGGGGAGGCCGGGCGAGCCCCCGCGGCTCAGCGGGACGAGAGCCGCGCCGCTCCTCTCCTGCAGAAACAGCCCCGGCTCCTCGGGCGCTAGGGCGCTGTCTGCGCCACGGCAGCCCCTCGCCGCCGCCCCCGGGCCGGGGAGGGGAGAGAAGCGGCGGGGGCGCGGAGCCTCTTTCCCCGCCGGGCTCGCCGGGCGGCCCCTGCTGCGCGCCGAGCTCTCCGCGCTGCCCCCGCCCCGCGTCCCTCCCGCGCCCGTCTCCCGCTTCCGCCCCTTTGGGCGGGCGGGAGAGGGGACGGGGGAAGTTATTTGGAAATAAAAAAAGCCAAGGGGGGGATGGAGAACTGAGCGCAGGCGGAAGGACGGGTCTCGCCTGTGTTGGAAGTGGCCGAAGCGGCGGATCTCACCTGGAGGAGGAGGAGGGCATCGCACCGCCTCTCCCGCCGCCGCCTACATCCCCCGTGCACAGACACGTCTGCCCGGTGCGTGGGAATGCCCCCGCATTTGCCTTTGCGATCAGCGCGGTCTGGTGGATTAAGGAAACCGCTGTGAGAACTTGGCCCCGTGCAAAAACCAGACCCTCCCGACCGTCCCGGGGTTTTACTCCCTTTCGCTGCTGTAAGGAGTACGGGTTTGTTTATCTGTCACAGCAAATCCATAGGTACAAATACTCTCACGGTCGCTCTGCCAAAAATTTAAGTATTTATGTATTCTGGCTCGGGTGGGAGCTTTTTTGCTGAATTGCTACGTATAAAGTACTGGACGTGAATCATGTCTTGCAGAAACAGTCAGTGAGGCTAATTCTGTTACCCTATGGTCAGATGTGATCTGAAGAGCTTTGAAGTGAAATAATTTGCTGCTTTTAAAGTGTGGGTTTGGGGTTTTTTTTCTGCTGTGAATTTATTTCTCTGCACCTCACTTCCAGGCCCATTTACACAAGCATTGTCCTATTAGGTATTCAGAAAGCCTGCCAAAATGTCTCAGCTTGTCATTTTTTATTGAGACTTGATAGTATTAGGTAACTGCCTGCTGCTTCTGCATCCTTTTCCATGTTCCTTCAATGCCCTGGATCAGGTCTTGAAGTGTCTCATCAGCCAAGACCGTCACTAAACTGCATGATCTTTGGCAGAGATCTACCTGCAGCCCTTCTGCACTTTATGGCTGCATAAAAGAGCTTTTATAGAAACAGAGTGGAAAGGTGCTAATCTCTGCCTGCTAATGTTCACAATCCAAAGTAGGCACTTATACAGATTATGGGGTTTTGCTCCATTTTTTTTACCTTGAATTAGGAGCAGAATTTAAATTTTCTTTCAGATCCTGAATGGTGCAACATACCTTGGGGTTCTTTCACCGCTTTGAACCCTGTGAAGATATCCCAGTCCCATAAAGCTCGTTTGCATACCACAAGCAGCACAAATTATCTTAGGAGTTGGAAATTCAGCAGAAATACTCTTGTCTCTTGAGGGAGCTACAGCAATTCTGGTGCAAAGGAAAGTGGGGTGGAAGAGAGGTCTTGCATCATTTGGGACTGGACTGGCGGAAAACTGAGCAAATTTTTTGCTGTGCTAAAAATCTTTTTACTCTGAAGCTGTGAGACTTCAGCCCTTTGTCTCTTCAAGTTCTGTCATGGAAACAGGAGTCTGGTATTTTAAAATGTGTAAACGTAGGCTTGCTTTACTTACATTAGCAGCACACCTGATACAGGTCAATGGCCATACCCCAGAGGCAGTGCTGCATTTATGAAACTGCCATAGGGATGCTGAAGTTCCATTAAGGCTCATGTTAAGAAATGCAAGATAATGCTCACAGTAAAGCATCTTTTAGAAAGAGCTGGTGGTGGGAGGAAATAAAGCTGGTTCCTTAGTACCCAGCCTCTCTTGGAGTAAAACAATTCCACTGTTATTTTGTCTCATGTTACCAGCAGAGCTATCTTTAGCCGTGAAACAAAAACCTTGAGCAACAGTGGTACTGAGGATGCCTTGAGAAGTATTTAAACTAGCATTTATATTCAGATTTCTACATACATGTTTCACCCATCTATATCCTCTCTCCATTTTTGGATGGACAGGCCCTGAAAGGGGTTTGGTTTGCTGGCCCCTGTCCTGCAGTCCCTCCTCAGAGTGCCTGCTACTTGCTTGCTTTCCAATGAGAGACACAAGCCGAAACTGCTATGGTCCTCATCTTTACTGTAGTCAAGGGCATTGCCTTTAAATCTTTATCAAAATAGCCTTCCACTGCAACATCAACCTCCCATGGAGTACTCCAGTCTCCGCTGGAAGCCACGATTTGATTACTTCCTCAGGAAAGGTGGTGACCTAGGCAAACCATTTTTCCTAACCCATCTTGAAGTTCTGGTAGGAATCCCTGCAAATAACCAGTCTTATCCATGGCTTTGCCATGGTGCTGAGCAGTGTGTAAATGGGAGAGCATTTACCAAAATCCTTCCTGACATTCCCCAGCAGTAAGATGGGGAATCTCTAACTATTGGAGCCCCTGATGCTGCTTGTAGCTAAATAACTGCATAAAAATTTGATAGGCACTTTATTCTTGCTCTTTCATGCATTGTTTTGGTTTTGTTCAAATCTTGTCTGGAAGCATTTGGAAAACTTGGAAATTGAGGCAGCCATGTCATGGGGATGGGGGAGCAAAACCACTGACAGTTCTGTGAAGAGACTTCTCCTGCAGGGGACATGCATGTGCTGCCTGGACATCACAGACCTCTTTCTATTTTACTTTCTATCACTGCAATCACATTTATGGATTTTTCCTGGCCTGCCAGACTTTCACTGTGTGCAAAGGAGAGTTCTAAATTTAATTTACATGCAGCTAGAGTTTCTTTTCCTGCATTTTTGGAGAAATGTTATCTTTACTGAGTAACTTAAACAGGCTTATATTTTTGCAAGTTTCTGCCAGGGTTTGTTTTGTTACAGTCATTACTTGGAGGAAACTTACATACACGGATTCAAGGAGCAAGTATTGGTGCAAACCCAAATGTCTATGTTAATAAAACTGAGGGGAAAAATAAACTTGAGAAGTTATGACATAAATTCACTCAAGCTTTTCGATATTAATTTTCTGAGGCTGTTTCTCGAAACACAGAAATCAAATTAAGTTTTTTATTAAAAATTTTATTAAAGGAGATACTTTTCAGCATTAGCACTCATTCCATTACAACATTCATGCAGCAGCTGGCAGTTCTATCTGTTTGTTTTCCTCAAAAGCATGTCAGTTATATGAGCAGGTCTAACGTCACTGGTTTTCAGGATTTTATATATTCAGATATAGATTTAGAACAAAATAAAAAGGTAATTCTGAGTTATGTGGCTAAGGATAATTTGCATTTCTAGTCCATCTTTGATCTAGAGATATCCCAAAACACTTTAATTTCAAAAAAAGAAAATTATATGTAGAACTATATTACCAACACTGAAAGGCAACAGCTGTTTAACAGCAAGGAAAAATACTGAGTCTCTCTCATACAATTGTAATGGAAATACGGGTTTGAATAGGCAGAAAGTTACCCAAATCATAGGGCCATGTTGATTAATTCCTGCAAAAGGTACCATAGTGAGGACTTTCCTTTATCATGTTCTACTCCAAGTGTTTCAAAAGTCCTCCATTAAGAAAAAAAAAAAAATACTTCTCCATTTAGAATATCAGGTTTTCTGTAGGCATGAATTGTGGCAGCTATTGCTGTTCATGTTAATCCATATAGACAGAAAAAAAATCCTTTTATTTTGTCAGAATAAATAAAATAGTAGCTTACTTAAGAATAAATATGTCCACTTAAAGAGTTGGTTTTGTATATCCAGAGAGGTTTGTTCATAAACATGTAAGAACAAAAATCTTTCCACTAGAAAATATACAGAAAGAAAATGTTTCTTGATGAGTGAACACTTTACAATACCTCCTGTCCATCTCATAAGCAGGTACAATATGACTTAATCATATGTTCTTTCCTTTAGTGAGAATTTTATCAGTTTTGTATTGACTTCAATGCATAGAAATAATATTGAATATTATTTATATTCAAACTTATGATTAGGTTTAAAGTATTAATAAAAAAAGTTTTCAATGCTTTTTTAAATTGCAAAGATAACAGGTGCTCACCTGAAAAATTGAGGCATTTTTCCACTGGTGAACTCTTTTGATGTTAATCTTTGGTGAGCCTAGAAAACTGCTCAGAATGTTGCCTATAAGCAATCATCACATGCTGAAAGAATAAAGTTTTCTAAGAATATTTTCTAACCATAATTATGCATCTTTTAATTATATCTCCACTGAAAATAGATATCCATGGCTTCCTGTGCTGTGCATGAATTAATAAGGTCTAAAATTTGCAATAACAATACCTTTGACTGACACTGCAACGCTGAATGATACCTTGTCTGATGGGCAACTAACCGCTTATGAGAACTGCTGGAAACCTTCAGTGTGCATAAAACAATCAACTGAGCAATAAAACAAAGGTGAAAGTTCTAATGAACAAGCATCAGATTTGATTAACTAAAAGAAGTTTAAGTACTCTGGGTACTCCGCTGCCTGGATGTAATGCTGGTGGCAGAAAGGATATCCCTTCCTCATTTGGACACTTCAGCTCTTTTCCTGTTGAACTGTTTGAGAGAACAAGGGACAGGAGGCAGCCAGGGCTCTGTACGTCCAGAGGAGGAACTTGTTGGAGGCAAACTAGTCAACAAATGAAGAGATGAGTCAATAAAAGTAAGTATTTCTGAGGGAACAAAAATGGAAAAGCAACAAAAAGGAAAAAGATTATGCCACTGACAAGGCTGCTGAGTCAGTTTATTTGTCCTGTGCCTACCAGTCACAGGAAAACAGAAGGAAAAATCCAAACTGAAAGACTGAACTATTAATGCCAGTAGTTTAACTAAAAATATTTTTTTTTAAAAAAATTGATTTTCATTTCTAATATTACAGTATCTATCACAGGTTTTGCTGAAACCTGAGGGATGTGGACCCAGTTTATTACAGAAGCACAGAATCACCAGGTTGGAAGAGACTTTCAAGATCATCGAGTCCAACCCATGCCCCAACACCTCAACTAAACCATGGCACCAAGTGCCACATCCAGTGTTCTTTTAAACACATTCAGGGAAGGTGACTCCACCACCTCCCCAGGCAGGAGGTCATACTATGTTGTTGACATACAATGAAGTTGTTTCATAAAGTAGAAATGTTCTGTAGTCCTTGTTTTATAGAAACTGCATTTTCCTGAACAGCAAACAGCTCATATTAGGATGTAAAATAAATGTTCATTAAAATGTTATCTATATCTGACTGATAGCCTGAGTATAGAATGAAACAAAACCATCTACTTCCTAATGAACTCTCTTGTGTGTGTATGGACTTCAGCTTCCTAGCAGATTGTCAGTCACAAATGCAAATTTATCCTAGTAAAAAAAACCAAAACAACAACCAAAAAACCAAAATCTATTACAGGATTGAAAAGCAATATCTCTTCATAATATGTGACTTGGAGGGGAAAATCTTTGAGAGATTTTGTGACTTAACATCTACTTGATCATTAAAGTTTCCTGACATGCTATGTTCCTACTGAATTTGTGGGCTTTTCATTTCATAAGAAGTACAGCACCAGCTGAAGGAAATCTATTCTAAATACTTCTCCTCTCCTTTCCTTCCTCCATCAAATATTAATAATGTACATGTACTGTCAACAGAGGCTCCTTCTTGCCCAGCATTTTCCTCTTTTTATTGCCAGACATTGTGCTGTACACACATTGTCCTATGCCATCTTGCAGTGGTGACATCAGAACACTCTTAACATTCTTCTGAGTCTATTTTCTTCCTCTTTTCACATAAATGAGTTTTTATTTTACAATATTTTTAGTCTCTCTGGATCCTCTGTCAGATGATGGCAGTATAAGGTGGAGAGACAGACCACAGAAAGGGTTGTGATGCTGCCAAAGGGTAGAAAAGGTGGATCATATAAGCTTTGTCTTGAGATATTCCCATGCCCATGGAATTTAACAGTTGGAATCGCTGGGAAAAACCTCTGGCAGGTTTTCAGAAGCCCTTTCCCAAAAACAAAATTAAGTCATGTAGACTGGCTAGAGTATGCAGAAAGATCAGAAAGATCCTCCTTATATCACTGGGAGGAAATTTGTATCCTTTGAATTTATCAGGAGCAAACACAGTGAATCCCAAGCATGCAGAGAAATAAATTTATTTTTCTCATCTTTCTAAAGTCAGTGATACATAAAGATATGTTTCCTCTAAAATACAAACATGAAGGGCTACTTCTGCTCAGAAGACAGGGCTGCATAATAAGCCACAGCAAAGTGCTGGCTATTACATCTTGAGCCAGAAAAGTTTAAACATATATAAATTATTAATATAAGTTTCTTTTTATGCATCCTATGACTTAATTATTTTCTATTTTTATAAGAAAGTTTGATAACTTTTGAAATATTACAATACATTGCTGAAGAGATGGAAACAATTATTTCTTTGTTTAGCTCAAGTTCCCTTAAGTGTAGTCCAAGTTACAGTGCGGTAGAAATCTGTCTAAAAATCAAGTCATTATAAAAAAAAAAACAAACCTTATACAGACAGTTCTGCCTGAAATGAACAAATAAATTTACATAGCATCATTTTTATATGAACAAAAATGTTATTTTCTCCAAAATAGTTGGTGTGCCTTCAGCCACACATGAACTCAGTTGACTGGATGTATTGCTTTCAAAAAGCAATAGCATGATCCTGACTCCTTTACAAGTTTGAATTTATGAACTATTCTAACATTTGCAGCACAGAAAATATCTGTCTTACGCCCTGACAATAGGAGCATTTGCAGACCTGAAAATCACTGGGCAACTTTAGGTGAAGACTGGAGATTTATGGAGTGTTCCTTTCCTGCTCACTGGTGTGAAGCCATGCAGAGAGAATTTTGCTGGGCTGGATGGGATTTTTTTACCCTGGCAGCTCATGAAAGAGTAAGGCATGTGTCATTCAAATTATTAAGATGTAGTGAAAATAATTGTAAGCCTATTTAAATGTAAGTTATTTTATATTGTGTATAAGATCATTAAAACTCTTAGCAATAAAAAAAAAAAAAAATCTGAGGCAGAAATAAAGAATGTTAGTAGTTGTACCTCACTGTAATCTCTTTTCCTCCTGAAAGCACAACAGATGTTTGATTCCCATGTTTACAGTTTTAGAGGCAGGCATAAAAAAATTGTTCTAACAGGCAGGCAACCATAAGTATTCTCTGTTTGGATATTTAAGTAGTCTCACTATCATAGATGAGCAAAATTAAATGGGAGAATAGACTGGCCTGTAAACAGTTCTTCATTGAGGTTGCCTTGCATGATGATGCAAGAGGATTAGTGATAGGGTGAGGGGTACTGACTGCTCCCATCCTGTGCTCCAGGGAGGTATGGGGGCCTTTTGAAGAGAGGTGGGAAGAAAAGAGATTTCAACTCTTCTGGACCTGGTTCTCCACAGGGGCATACCAACATGTTGCCATGGCCCAAAACTTATCCCAGAAACATTGAGCCAAACACTTGCAGCTATCAGCTTGGAACCCTGTAGCAGTAGAGTTCCATTGTGTCCATGCTAGGATCCTATTTAGGGGAGAAATTGAGTCAATATAATTTGTTTGACCTGAGTGAAGAGGAGTTTCAGTGCACTACTGGAATAGCTCTTGAGTGAGAGAAATGTACTGCTTATTTTTGTTAGGAGGTCTAATGTTTTCTCAGGCTTTGCTGCAAGATTAAATTTAAAAATTAAAAAAAAAAAAAAAGAAAACAACAAACATAGGGTTTTGTGGTTTTTCAGTGTCTTTTGAAATTGCTGAGCAGGTTTATACAGTTATCCAGAAAAGGTAAACAGAAAGTTACTGGATTAGGTTTACATGTAGGCATTGAGATAAAGCATTATGATTGAAATCTTGCTTTCACCATCTTTCTTAAATGTTAGCAGCTGAAGTTGCGTATTCTCAGCAATTAATGTTTTATTATATTTGAAAACTAGAGCAGAGGGAGACTCTCAAGCACAGAGCTGCAACAAGTACATCCAGTGACAGGAGCTGGCAAAACCCAGGTCAGAACTAAGTGCAGACAAATGCTGCAGTTTTCAATGGTGGCAGAGCCCAGGCTGTAGGCAGCTCTTGGATGCTGTGGGAAGTTGGGATTGGGTCCCTCTCCAGACTGTGGGAATACCAGGGCTGCATTTGCATAATGGTGCAAGCTAATGTTAGGAGTGGCTGAGCTCTCAAGCTGGAGTTTACCAAGGGTTCTTTCACTGTGGGAGAAGGACTCACCTCTCAGGTTAAAAAATAAAAAATAAAAAAAATAGGATGGAGAAAGTGTTTACTTGTTGATGCACATGTCCTTTCAAAGACCAGCTTCTCAGAAAATTTTTTTTTGGGTGAATGTGGCTGGCCCCCTCAGTTGGTCAGACATTTTCTGTGAAACACCCACTTACGCATGGGGAGAAAGGTAATCCCATTTTATTTTCCAAGCGCAACAGAAGAAACAGCTGTACCTAGCCATGCCTAGTGTCACCATGTGCTCTCTCTGACTGTCATACTTATCACCCTTCCCCCAAAGTCAGAAACTAAGCATGCATTTTATTCTTTCTCTGACCCAATCATGAAAATTTTGGTTTTATTGTAAAGGTGAAAACTGAATCTTTAAAGCACATTGGATAGAAAGAAATTACTTTAGAGGCTTCAGATAGCCCAGGAAAGAACACACTGCCATTAATAAATTAGAACAGAGGTGTGTCTTTGGAAAGTTATGTCTTATCTACATATGTTACAAGGGCCATCTTCATCCTGCATAGTGAAATAACTCACTGCTTGCCAAGATCAAATGTATAGCTGAGGTTATTTATTCAGTTCCTAAAATGTATCTATGCCTGCCTGGGGGCACATCTACACAGACTAGAGAGTTGTTTACCTAGAAAGAATGAAACCCAGAGGGGTATAGCCTCCTCTGGTAAAAAGTCAGACAAAAAAAATCCCTCTAATTTTTGAGGACTGAAAACCCTTCAGGCCTGGTTTCAGGCAAAAACCTCTGCAGGTAAAATAAACCTGGCTGTAATCCCAAACTGAATTCCAAACTGGAGTTCTGCCCAGCCAGCGGGAAGAGCTGGGAGCTGTGCAGGGGCAGTGCCTCCAGTTCTGAGATACAGAGGATGCATCAGAAAGAGTGAGAAGAGCTCCCTGGCTGCTTCTGCTGGAGGTGGGTAAAAGGATCAGCAGGGAGATAGCCATCAGATCTTAAGCAGCCTTTAGTATGAAGTGAAGTCACTGACTAAGCAGACACTGCAACCTGTGCTACAACAACACCAAGCTTTCCACAGCAGGAATACATCGTGACAGATGTGCAGCTGGGCTGCTGGTGGCAAGGAGTGGCCTTGAAGTCCAGTCCCAGGTAAAGCACATCCTAAATGCTGATGCAGGGCAGAGCTAGTGATCATGCTAACAAGAGTGGCCTGCTGGCTGGATTCTTCCTGCTGCCTCCTTTGGCAGTCATAGTTAATAGCACAGCTACAGATTTTGGCTATCAGCTAATATATAATTTTACAAATCTTAATCAGCAATTGATGAGAAGCCCATTGCCAGCATGACACCTGGCTCTTCACCGATCAAGCAGCAGGGTTGCCTAACATCCCACATTGCAGCAGAAAAACAGCCCTTTCTAGTCTTCCTGAAATAGATTTGGAGGAGACTTTTGTAGGTATAAGATCATTCAAAATGAAAAAAAAAAAACCTCAAAAAAAAAGAACTGATGTTGAAAATAATTAAAAATAAAATAAACTATTCCGACAATATAAACTTGGCAAAGAAAAGAGTAAAGCTCCATATAATAAAATTTTAAAATATAGGGCTGATTTTCTATTCTTTTTCTTGTCCAACTGGAATTGTTGAAGAAGCGTGAAGCAGAGTTAAAGCTCTGCTAGTTTCTCCTGAGAAGTGTCAGGAAAGTTGAGTGCCTGTGCTACTGCTATGCTAGTGGGTTGTACTGCTTTTGTTTCCATCCTCCCAGTGGAGGCAAGATCTGATATCCCATCTGCAAGCAGAGGAGAAGTAGCCGTGGTTGTTTTGCTTGTCTAAAAGGATGGTCAGTCACTTTTTGTTGGATCAGAATCAGCACTATGTGTCCATAGGAGAAAGAAAAGGTTGCAGTCTCGGAGTAGTGCTGGTTGCTGGCTTAAAGCTCATGCTGAAAGCAGCACACTGGGATGTTACAGCTCATCAGACCTCTCCACTTGGGAAGGCTGGTTTTCTGCCTCCCACCAGCTTTGTTTAGGAAGAAGAGAGTATTGTGTGGGTCACTCTTTCTCATATGAAGGGAAAGGGTTCCCATAGATGAGTTATGATTCTCCTCTTCCTTCTGTTTCAGAAGAATGAGAGTAGATGTAACAAGACATGTTGTGGAGTGAAGGGTGTGCTTAAACAGTAGGGCTCTTTTGTCAAGAACAAAGCAACTGCAGCTCAGGTGTACTTCAGTTTGCCTTTTTTAGGTGGAATTAACAGAGTTCATGTGCACTCCCTCAGTCTATTTCTGGGCTTTGCTAGTTTATGTAACAA